TTCTCCAGCTGGTCAAGTCGAAATCTTGTCCACTGATCCCGTTTCCCACCCTCGGCCCCAATACACATAACCTCGAGGGCCCTGTCAGCTCCCCTCCGAAGTCCTCTGAGTTCTCCCGTGCTGCTTTGGCTTCGTCAACTTGTCGCCTCGCCTTGTCCCTGGGAACGGGGTTATACAGACGCTGCTCTCGGGAACTGCCTCCCCTGTTCTGCTGCCCGCCCGGGAAGGGCGCTGCGCCCAGAACAATAGGGGTCGAGTGGCGGGGGGAGCCCCTCGGAGGGGTCAGGCCTGGAGCAAACGGTTGTGCCTGGATCGCCGTTGGCTCTAGAGCCAGAACTTGCACCTACGTTGCTTCCCAATTTTCTACGGCTCTGTAGCCAATTACGCTGAAAAACAGCTAAACTGCGACCTGTGGTCATAGGACGGGTGCTGCAGGAGCAGAAGTTTTGCATTTGTAACGACATGGACATGTCGCTAGGTACTTGGCTCCGCACCCTGCCTGTCGTCTTCCCCTTGCCAAGTGTTTAAACGCTTACAGCCTAAATGTTGGTAGTTTGGAGGTTGTTTAGCTCAGCCCTTAATATTCCCACCACTATATTTACGAAATCATAGGTTAACTCTACGCTGATCTTCTATATGTATTTTTCTGACACATATAGCCTGCGTCAACTAATTTAACCTATTGTTGAGAAAGTCAGTGGCGAACCCCCTGGTTGTGAAAAGATAAAGAGAAAAAATATGATAAATAACCCCCACAGAGATGTGGACATTTAAGGAAAGGAGTCAGTGCGTGTATGAGTGTCAGAGGATCTTCAAGGAAGGGGACGCTTTGATAAAACCTTCTCGGGCAACTTTTAGGGTGCATTGTTTGAAGACAGGATGATTTCTGGCCCAATATTTCCCACTGCCTCGCACCAACGAGCACCCAGAAGAAAGGGGTTCCCACACCTTTGCTGTAGCGGTGTCGTGATCTGATCTTCCCAGTGGGGAGAGGGCGATGGGGCCGGGCGGAGGTGCCAGGGAGCAGCGTGGAGATGTGGAAACAGGATCGAAACTGTCTGTGAGGATTTCCTCGGGTCGCGTAGGGCCACGGAGGGCCGGGCAGGGTGAGGAGAGGCAGACGGGGTCCTGGCGCCCCTACCCGCCCCCCCATCCGCTCTGCCCAAGAGACCCGAGATTGCTCTTGG